AACACTAATGTTTTTGATAATTCAAGACTAAAAATGGCATTTGAAAATCGAGGAATGGGTGATGAATTACTTTTGGTGGGTACCCACAGCGTTCTTACATTATGACGCCTTTTCAAAATTCAACAACTGAAGCCGAAAATTTATATAACGAGTTACAAATCAGAAGTAGGAATGTTGTAGAAAGAACGTTTGGGATATGGAAAAGGAGATTTCCTATTCTTTCAATTGGAATGAGATGCAAATTACAGCTGATCCAAAACATTATTATAGCTACAGCAATATTGCATAACATTGCAAGAAGTAGAAATAAAGTCCCTTTAGATGAAAATGAGGACTATGATAGAGGGGAGTTAGATAACAACAGGGAGCATGCTGGAGAAAACTATGATAGAAGAAGGTCGTTTTTAGATTATTTTCAAACTTTATTATAAAAATGTTTATTATAATTTATTGTAATTAAGTAGTTAATAAAAATAAATACATTAGTTTTCAAAATTATGTTTAACAGTTATTTTCTATTATTTTCCAATCTTCCAAAAAGTAATTGTTCGTCTTTTATTTGCAGATCTTTTTTGACAATATCCATTTGGAGCTTTACCAAATCTGCTCTACTAGAAGCTAATGTTGAATATTTTTCGTTTATCTCATCTTTTTTTATTTTATTCTTGAAAGCAACTTCTTATGTTTTGGTGTTTTCAGTTGATTTTTTTGTAAATTAGTCTATTTCTGTACATTATTGGCTGCTTCTGTATAAATTATATTTTCAGTTCTTTTAGTCTGGTTTTCTATTCTTTTTTTCTTATTGGAATCAGTTTGCTTATACTGTTTGTACTTAATATTTATTTTTTTTTTGTTAGCAAAACTAAAATAACATTATGGCTAATGGTAAAATTCGTACAATTTTGTATGGTCAACCCCGGATAAATTTTTCGTATGCCAATTCATACTTTTTTCTTGGAATTACCGGCAACAAATATAATGTTACTTTTTCAGCTTTTTCCAATATCTCTGACGGAGTATTATTAAAATCGTCACTATGTCTTATTAAAATTATTATAACGATTTTTATAAAAGTACGAATAAAAACTAGCTTAAAAATTTAAAAAAAAACTATAATCATCTGACAGTTGTGACAACTATTTAAAGCTAAACAGCAGCCAATTACGTTTTTGTTGATTTTTCATATAAATGTATGTAGTGTGGACAAAGTGCCGTGAGAAAAAATACATGGTTTCGAAATTAAGTAAGCTATTAGAAATTCGCTTCTTTTCATAAAAGTTGTATAAAATAGTATATTACATTACGAGTGTGAAAAGTGACATTTTTCACACGAGTGGGAAATATTGACGCACGAGGCTCAAGCCGACTATCACACGTAAAACGTGATTTTCCACACAAGTGATGTACAATATTTTTCCTATGAGCACAAAATAATTTCATCAAAAAATGTAAAACAAGGTTATTATTATAATAATTAAAATGTATTTAAAAAAATAATCAACAATAATCGTATTTATTTAATTTTCATATTTTCTAAACAAAAAAAAACTAAAAACAAAAAAAAATAAAAAAAGAACCAAAAAAAAAATTCTGTCCCCGCAAGGATTTGAACGCGGTCGCTCGCCAGGTCTCAAATAACCAAGTTGATAAAGTTTGATACTCTACTACCTGAGATAATAGGCCTTGCGTCAATTGAATGATCTAATCGGTTATGTGTTTAACCAGAATAAAAATCAAACATAACTTAGTTATTTTAAAATTATTTAAATAATATGTAATTGTTAAAGATAAATATCTAGAATCTAATTTAAACAATTTCAATAATTTAACAATCATATCGATTTTAATATTAATATGGACATTACATAGATCAAAATAGCAATGATGCGTTTGACATTTTGTGACAGCTGATGCGGAAAGTAGCATATTCGCACTCGGGTGGAAAGTAAATTATTATTCATACGCATGTGATATAGGGCACTTTCCATAGGACTATATAGTGTGATATGTGCCACTTTCCTAATTGGTGGTAGGAAAAGATATTTATTTTAAATATAAATAAATCGGTCATTTTGAAAAGGGGTCAAATCCACGTTTTAAAATTTTACAGTAGCGATAAAAAAACCTTTAATCTTTAATACTATTTGAAAATAATTTTTTGTAAGGTATTGTTTGCTTTAAACATGAACTTTTATGACCATGAATTATTAAAAAACTTGATTTGTATTTTAAAAGGGGCTAAAAATTAACATTTTTTGAAAAAGAGATGCCCCGTTTTTAAAATGAACAAGTATTTAAAATCAAAATAAAATATAAATATTGTTAGTGGTATAAAATACATTTTAATAAAAAAATAAGATCTTCTTTAATTTTCCTCCATTTATTCAGCGGAAGTAGTAGGCCATTCGCAGATAGTGGTGTAAAATTCCTTGTATGTATCTGGAATATATTGCTGAAGCCTTTATATCCTCAATTTTCTTAAAATTCTGAGGATCTGGCACCATTATTGTCGGAATGCTTCTTTGTAAAGTTTTTAAAAGAAGGAAACGTTCCTAAACAAAGCTGCCAATGTATGGTTTAGCAAAGATGACACCCAAATTTTCTGAGTTAAAGCTGAACTAGTAGAAGTTGTTGGTAGTGAAATTAACCTTGTTTTCTTTTGGAACTTGTTTGCCAAGACTTCGTGTAGATAACACTTTCTTCTTAAAGAAATCCAGCCATCATTGTTTGAAACTAGGCACATCTACCGTACGTGAGTAACATGTTTAACGTCGAATTTATTAATATTCGATGAAGAAATTATTAGGTCTTCATATTTTCCTACAGAGTTTGTTCACATTATTAAAGTGTTCTTTTCCAGTAATTTTTGCGTTTTTTAATCGAAATTTGCTTGTATTTTTGTTTGTATTTTTAACACCTTTCTTCCGTTTGGTATGAGGAGAAATTGTCTCACTACTTTCACTACTAGATGGCATTTTGTCACGCGACACGTAAACACTCTCTAAACACGTCTAAAATATCTATAATACCTAATAAAACGTTGGTGGTGAAGGGGACAAAGCACGATTTATTTTGAGAAGGGGTTATCTCCTGGAGATAACCCGTTTTCAAAATGAACTGATTTTTGTGTGCTGTGAATAGGCGGTAAGAATTTTGAAAGAGGACTCGGTTTCATCTTGAATTGATGCCTCTAGGCATGCTGAATACAAAATCGCCAAAAAGTGAAAATGACCCCTTTTCAAAATGACCGATTCAAATAAAAAACATGTTATTTTTTTATTTAACGGAAATTGTTTACAGAAATAATAAATTGTATAAATAGTTAAATACAAAATTATGTCTAATGTTCTTTAATTCGTGTAATTTCATTAAACGGAAATGTGTTTTACGAATTATGACGTAAAATAGTAATCTAAAAAGTAAACAATAATTTTATATTGATTTTTAAATAAATAATATTCGAATTTTATACCTAATTGGAAATAAATTAATTACAATTATTAGAAAGCAAAAAGATTAAATTTTTATTTTCATTTATAAAAAGAACTATAATAATTATTATGTGTTGTTGAATTACTTGTACGAGGGCTGTTCTCTTTCCGCTGAGCATACCTAGTAGGCGATAATATTTTTACATAATTCAATTTATATTAGATAAATTATACATGATTCGTATTGTTTTACTGTAAATTGTGAAGTTGCCAAATATTAATGCCATTGGTATTTCAAAAGAAATAGGTTGCAGAATTGTGAAAATCTTATCAATCACTAACTATTATTTTGAGAATCGCTAAAAAAAATTGTGAGCGGTTTAAATATCATCCCTTTAAATTGTAAATAACTATATAAGTTTTATGTAAGTATTTAGTCGTAATTACAAACAATCATAACATTTATATTATTTTTATATAGAATAAAGAGAAAAAAATCCATTTTCTCAAATGTGACCAGTTTGAAATAAAATTAAAAAAACAATCTTAAAGTCCATGTCACAGCAAAAGTGATTGTCGCCTTTGCCGCCTAAAAATAACTACTTACTTGGATAAAATCAAAACAGACATTCCATTATATCAGTGGGAAACGAGCAGAGATAGAAAATTATTTTAGACACTCTAGCTTTGATTTTGTTTCCTAAGAAGAAAGTCATACTTGGACCGATTTTGTCCTTATAAGGACTCATCAGCAAGCATTAAACGACCTCGACTTCAGTCTCTAATGAACTCTGTCTAATGTATACCTTTCACTGGTATACAATAAAGATGATTGAGAAGAGTAGGTAATAAACGAGTAAAAAATGGTAACGCAGTACGCAGTTGGGAAGCAAAATCAAAGCTTACTTTGTACTAAGGACAAGGTAAAATAATATCCAGACGAGCATATATTACCGGAAACATTCCAATTTCTTAAACCAAGTAACTTTTTGACAGTTAAAATGATTGCCCGATGAGGCCGTACACACCCTTATTTTACATTAAGTTGATACGTATTTAATTTGTTTTTTTTTTTTAAGTTACCGTTATTTGAATTAATTAGGTACCAATACAAATTGAACAGATTAGCAACCAAGTTTTGGTGTATTAAAAGTTCATCAAACAACAATTTTTAACAGGATATTGGAATTCCTAATTGGACATTATGAATAAGGATTTGTTTTTAGTACTCAAGTCTCGTTAGAATTATGTATTTAGTTCATCTAGGTATTTTGAAAATAAATAAATTGGTAGGTATTTATATTTTTGTCAAAGCTTGTTCGTTTTCCCTAGTTATAAACTTCAAACACACCATAACTAATGATTAAAAAACCAGAAAATTTTATTTATCTTCTTTTCGTAACTGATGACATAATTTACTTTTTAGATCAAGTAACGAAAAGTAAAAAACTAGTTACTTACTTTTTGTAATTAATTATGAAAAATGGAACAAGTTAACACTTGCTGCGATTACCAAAGACATGTTTAAATTAGAAAAAAAAATCATGCAGCAGGTAATAAAGTACTTACCTTAATAAACTCTCTGATACTACTATTTTGAAAACTGAAATCAAGTATTCCTTGGACACTACAAAAATAGTTCCCATTATTTCCTAAACAACTGTTATAGTCGTCCATTTCAAACAATGGCGGTAAAACATCCATGTCTAAAAAGTAATTTAGGAATAGGTTTTTACATGCTATATTCTTTGGAGCAAATTTATATTTTTTATTAACTTTTTTGTGAATGATGTCATTGTGAATGTCATTTTAAGAAATATTTAAAGAAAATATGTTTTAACATAATGTTTCTTTAAAAAAAAAATATATTAAAAAAGACTCACACATGGCACAAACAGTTTTAGACATAGTTTTAAAGAATACCTACCTAATAGAAAGTTCTAAACTTGGCGGCTCTGCGAAGCTGGCTCCCCTAAGTTCAAAAATGTTAGGTTTACAAGTGGCCTACGTTTGACACATATTGACCATGTTTGACCAACCATGAACGTCGGAACATAATTTTTAATCATTATTGTACACTTATGTTGATCGACTATTTTTTTATAAGTCAAAATTCAGTTTTGAAATTGTATATTTGGAATTTTCTGACTACTTATGGAGATTAAAATTATTTTAGGGATTGGTCAAACATCACAACATAATTCTAAACCATTTTGGATCTTTATTGTGCACTTGTCAATTAACCATTTTTCCAAGTCAAAATTCGATTTCCAAATTGTATATTTTGTATTTTCACACTGTGACAGGATTCAAGATTCACCTACTCTGAAGTAGGAAGTCTGTGTGGCGCTAGGTGGTGAATTCAGAATAAGGGCTGCTCAGGCGCCAGTTTTGTTAACTATGTTTGCTCTGCAACCCTGTAGTACATTAAAATGTACTCAAGATAATTTCAGTGGAGTTAAAAGTACCTCCAGGTGGTCACCACTAACGGGGTAGCCACTAAATTATAATACAAGAAACTGTTCTCCCTTGCACCTCGTACTCTACAGTACCCTGAAATAAAATGGTTAAGAGGCGTAAAAAGAAAGAAGAGAAGGAAAAGGAAAGGCACAGGAAGGACGAAGAAGACAAGAAGGTGGACAGGCGTAGAAAAGAAGCGATTTAAATTATGAACGGATTGCTACAAATCTAGGAAACCTTCAAACAAGAGGTTGGTCAGCTTAACAATAGAGTAGATCTTCTGGCACAACAACAAGATATTTTAAAAACTAATGTTAAACAACAGCAAGAGCATCTAACTCATTTAGATCAGCAGCAACAGCATTTAAAACCCAATTTAAAACAACAACAGGAAAAGACAATTAGAGCTGAAATGGTAGAGTTAGAAAAAAGAATTCGTAGCCAAGCTTCGGTAAGCAACATCAAAGCTGAACATACTACCTCGTCTTCATCCATTATCGAACCATGCCACATTTGAATCCCAGTTTCACAAAACTATACTAGCAAGACCCTTAAGCCACCCACGTTATGGTCAAACAATATGGGAGATATATCTAATCCAATTTAAAGCTGCAGCTAGAGCCAATGGCTGGACCGAGAAATAAATGGCAGCTTCATTGATAGTGTCACTGCGAGGTCAGACAGCATCCGTTTTACAGTTACTTCCTCAAGAGGAACCCAGTTATTCATCTCTCATCCAAGTTTTGGAGACAAGATATGGCCAGCAGCATTTAAAACAGGTATTTCAAAGCCAGTTAAAAGTTCGTAGTCAGAAACACGATTAGAGTGTACAAGAATTCGAAGCCGATATTAAAAGATTGCTGCATCTGGCCTATCTACAGGCACCTAAAGATTTCTTAGAACAAATCGGCATACAGGCATTTATTGATGGATTACATGATGTGGAAATGCAGCAGGTTCTTCGGTTACAACACCACAAGACGTTGAGTGAGACACTGATTGCAGCCCAGGAATACGAAGCAGCAAAAACTATATCTAGATCTTCACGCGCAAAATTGAGAAAAATTAGATTTTAGGAAAGTGAAGAGGCCACTACTAAAACTATCCTTCAACCTGCCCTCTTACAAATCCTAAATATTCTGCAAAATATGCAACGAAATAGCCAAAATGAGAGCAGAAGATGCTACAATTACGGAAGAATCGGACACTTTCAAAGAACTTGTCGAATCAGGGCTCGTTCTATGAATCGAGAATCGGAGAATGATGCTATAAATTTAGCATTATCAACCTCCCTAAGCCTGTCACGAAGTCCAACAAGAAATAATTATAGCAGATATGCCTCCCGGAGAAGCCGGTCACCCACACCTATCCGGCTTTCTAACAATAGTCAGGGAAACGAATAAAGGTCGACACTACGGGGCAGGCGTAGGCTGTAACAGAGTGCCCCAAAATCCGCACTTACACCTTAAATAAAAACGAACAAAATCTATTGGTCAAGAAGGCACCTTCGTCCTTGATACTGGTGCAACTAAGTATTTCATTAGAACAGGGATCCTGCATCGAAAACCACGACCAACTTGAAGCTTAGTTCTGGAAACAGCTACAGGGCACACTACTCCTGTTCTAGGTGATATATCAGCCACCGTAGAGAATGGTAATACCCTTATAGAACACTTATTTCTGGTAGCCGATATTAAAGATCAGTGTATTTTGGGTATGGACATTATGCAAAATAAGTTTATCATCGACCTCCGAAAAAAGATCTTGGTTATTGGAAACGAGGAAATTGTCCTAAATTCGGAAGAAAATACTCAACCAATAAAGGTCCTAGTAGAAGAAGACATTGAAGTACCCCAAAATTATGAAGCTGTCGTCTCAGCGAGACTTAGCGAGAAATCACACGGCTTGCATATGGGCATTGTAGAAAGTGAAGAATCCGTGAGTGACGGAATTCTGGTAGCTAGATGTCTCGTTAACGTTGATCAACTAATTCTTGTAAGGGTGTCCAATTTAACGAAGAGATCATTCTAACTAAAGGAAGGACAAGTAATAGGGCTCTATACACCGGTGAAAAATATAATCAAGTGCGAAGACTGTTTCACGGAAAAAGCCACCACAAGTAACTCAGTTGACGCCGGCTTCGTAAAACAGCTAGATAAAAATTATGACAACCTGACAGCTGAAGAACTTAGAAAAGTCAAAGAATTCATCAATACCAACTGTGACATTTTCGAGACAGGAAAATCTACGGGGCGTACCAGTCTTGTTCAACATAGAATTTATACGGGCGATGCAAGGCCAATACGACAAGCACCTAAAAGACTTTTATTTGCTAAACAAAAAGAAGTAGCAAATATGATACAGGACATGATGACTGGAAATATCATTGCAGAAGCTTCTGGTCCCTGGTGCTCACCTGTGGTCCTAGTAACTAAGAAAGATGGATCTACTCGTTTCTGTATAGAATATAGAAGATTAAATCAGATAACACAGAAAGGCAGCTTATCCACTCCCCCGAATAGACGACACACTAAACACTGTCAGGTGAAAAATGGTTTTTCACGCTAGACTTGAACAGCGAATACTGGCATCCTGACGATCGAGACAAAACTGTTTTTTCAACTCGCACCGGATTAAACAGATTCTAGGTTCTCCCGTTTGGTCTCTGTAATTCCCCAGCTACCTTTGAACGTCTAACGGAAACGTTTTGAAAGGAATAACCTGGAAAACTTGTCTAGTGTATCTTGATCAAGGATGGTAATCTCTTTAGTTTATCATCCTTGTATCTTGATGACATATTGATCATGTCAAAAACTTTTGATTTGAGTGCAGTATTTAATAGATTAAGAAATGCCAATCTAAAGCTTAATCACAATAAATGTACACTATTCCAATCGGAAGCTTATTATTTGGGACACATCGCTTCTGCGGAAGGAATCAAAACTGATCCAAAGAAAATTATCGCTATCAAATATTGGCCTAAACCAAAAGATAAAAGTGAAATTAGAAGATTTCTTGGACTGTTCTCATATTACCGGAAATTCGTCAAAGATTTTCGCCCAATTGCTAAGCCATTTTATCGACTAACTGAAACAGTACTCTATTTGACTGGACGCCGGATTGCCAAAATGCCTTCACCGAGTTGAAAAAGCGACTAGCCTATCCTCGAGAACAAGGATAATTTTTTTTGGGCTTGCTATTAATGCTACAATCAACTACAAATGCTTATTTTTTTCTTTTTAATTAAGTTACGTAGTTTCAAGAAATATGATTTCTCGACTTCAACACCCTGTATTTTAAAAACTAGTCATATGATTGAATTGGTCCCATGAACACTTTTGGTCAACAAGTCGAGTACAACTTCATATTCAAAATTTATTACATTTGACGGAACGCCACTTTGCCATTAGAAAAGGGCGGGGTCCTTTAAAGGTTAAATAAGAAAGAAACTAAAAATATCTGAAGCAAAAATTTACGGCGCGAAAATAGAAAATAAGTTTTTCTACGATCACCATCTAAAGTAGGCTTCTGCGCTCGGAAATTTAACCGCAGCAGCAAACTTGACAGCGTTGTCCCTCGCCTAATTTAAATTAGATATAATATATTATTATTTATTTTTTATAAATTATTTTGAAATTATTGGTATCTACTTTGATGCTTTTTCTTTTATTATCCAAGTTATTTTTGACCTTAAATATCAATTCCTTTTTTCATGAACAACGAAGATATAGGCAACACATTATACACTATTTATAACAAATTTTCAGTTTTTATATCTATTTCTTTAAATAATGTGATCGTAGAAAAAATATTGTGTGCATTTTGAAAGAAAAGTTCGTTGCCGCTTTCAACAAATTGCCTCGGCAAATTATCACTTTTCGCTCTTAATATATAAATAGCTATTTTCAGCAAATAAACTATTTAAATACAATATATAAAAACAACAATAAAATATGAATTAATTAAATCGGCCGTTATTATTTATTTGATTCGGAATAAATTAAACGTTAATTTCGACGCTCCCTGTATACGGAAGACAACTTTTCTATCGAATAAATTGTTTAAATAAAATAATTAAATAATAACAAGAAAATATGAATTAATTAAATCAACAGTTATTGTTTGTTCGATTCGGAATAAACTAAACGTTAATTTCGACAAAAACAAAAAGGTCTTCCAGCTGATCAACGACCTTCGCGTAAGCAATGCAAGATTTTACGACGCCGACTTTGAGCTTTTTTAAATG